CTCTAGGTGCATGCCACCATGCCCAGTTTATCATAAAATTAATTCTAATTAAAGAAAATAGTGGGTCTTATTATTTTCTCAACAATCTAGCATCCACTTTCTCCATTCCACTGGGTTCTAACGGGGCTTTCCATCACATTGCTCCACCTTCCCAAACACAGAGATGGATATGTGACTTATGCGAAGTCCGTCTGAGTTCTAACTTTTCTATCAATGATAATTATGATTCATTTAATGAAAACAAGTTGCTCTACAACTTGATGGGGTATCTCAGCAGATCCCAAGCTAGGATTCAGTGTCTTGGTGTAGGCATTGGGACAATGAGTCAGTCCTTCATCTAAGATATTGACTTGAATTATTTCATAAGCATGGGAGGAGAACATTTTTGTACCAGTCTATCAGTGAGTGAAAGAGAAGGGATGGGAAGACAAAGAATACACAGGTTTGTATTCTCCTTGCCTGGCCCCAAAACTAGATTTGCAGGATGGCAGGAAGCAGAGAAAGGGGCTCTTCATAAACAACTTTGTGAGTACTGCTTTTGATATCTGTGTCAAAGTGTAGCACTGAGTTGGGATGAGGAGAGGATTCTATTTCTTGTACCATTTGCCATACCAAGATTTCTCAGTTGCAGAAGCATCAGGACATGCACCCTTGTTGAAGGCAGCAACATTTCCCCATTTCTCACATTGTTTAGCTAAGGCAATCATCATGAGGAGACACTCCCTCAAGGTGCTTGTAGGTAACAGGCAGCAGCAACAAGGAAGGCAAATCAGGAGAACCAGACCAAACTTGTTCTTACACACATGTCAGACATACTCTGGGGATGTTACAAAAGAAACTGAAGATTTTGGAAGAGGGATGCTAATAACTGTCAGTCAAGAAGGTGAGTCACAGAGCCTGTTAAATTTGGAAAAATTAATGTTAACATGACCGCATTTGTATCTTTATGCTGTTGTAAACAAGGGATGTGTGTGCATGTTGGAGGGGGTGGTTGTGGGGAGCTGGTGGGGTGGGATATTCTTTCAGTCTAGAACTATTTCTTGAGTACCTTCTATTTGCCTGGCACTATTCCAGAAATCAGTCGTGCACAAAATAAACAAAGTTCCTTCCCTCAAAGGTTACACACCTAAGAAGTCTCTGTGAAGCAGAAACAACATGGAGCTTGGTTTTCCCTGATGTTCTAGAGTTCTGTGGGTGTTACACTCCATGTCATTTATGGATTATCAGGCTCTATGGAACTAGCTTCCAAGTCAGATTCAGTATCAAGGTAATCTCACTAACCCTCTAGCCAACTCAGTAAAATTGTAATGCCTGTCTCAAGCTAGACTCAAAACATAAAGCTTTACTCCAAATTCAAGTAGTCATCCATTAGCTCTATTAATTCTATGCCTAATATTTGGAGGCCAGTGGTCTTGAAATGAAACGTATGGTTATTTAGCTTGGTTAGAGAGACAGTGACTGAACTCTTAGCCTCAAACTATTGGTTTTCTTTCTTTCAACTTTTTCAAGATATATCTTTAAAAAATGGGATCACTGTGGCAATATATCCAAAAATTATTTGATGAAGTGGAATATTGATCGTTCAGGTGCCTAAGTACTGACACTATTTTTTAATTCTTACACTGTTTCACACTGAATGGAAATAAAATCCAAGGTAACCTTATACTCTTGGGACTGCCTTAAGCCTTATGCGCAGTAGGGCTATTTATTAGTGATCCCAAGCAGAGAATTAAAAAAGAAACAGCAAAGCATCCATTTGAACAAATTGAACTCATATGGTAAACTCAGATACACATTCTTTAAAGGAACTGTGAAGTAATCAAGGGTTTCTTCCAAAAGACATTTATAAGGAATCAAATGGGAAAAAGCCAAACGTGTATATATTCTACTCATCCTTTGGGATAGTGAAAAAGATCTGAAAATGGATAGTGATGATGGCTACACAGCAGTTTGAATGTACACAGTGTAATGCCCCTAAACTATACATTTAGAAATGGTTAAAAAAGTAAATTTTGTGTTGTGTATATTTTATCACAATAAAAATATTTGGAAAAAAAGCCCCCTATACATTCTGAGTTAAACCAGAACTTAAAAATATTCTCCCAATTGAGCTTGAACTTTCGTCATATGTTATTGGGTTTGAGCCTTGAGTGACTACCACACCAGTGATTCTTTAGCTCCTGCCAAAATCTTTCTGAATGTATTTGGCTTAGTTTTAAACAATAACATTTATTGGATACAGAAAATATAACTCATGTCCTTTCTGATTCATTGAAATAAATAAATAAGTAAACATACTGTCCAAACTGAGCTCAGTTTTGAATTAAAAGTCATTATCGTAAGCTCAAAGAAAAATGCCTATTGTCTTTCTAGCATACGTGTTCAACACTTGTATTTGTATTTGCCAGTTATTCCCCCAGAGATGTCATATGACTGCTTTTAATTTGAAAAATGTTGGACTGCTTTATCTGATGTCCAAACCTTACAAAAAATGTTTGTATGGAAAACTAAGTAATGGTTCAATGTCCACCTTCAAGCCAAAGTATGTACACAGCTCAAATGTGGATGTTCAATGTTAGACCATTGGGATCAGTGCGTAATACAGAGTTGATGATCCTAAGATCCTGGAGATTATTGTCACGTATCTTAACTAGGATTCTTAAGCCAAGTGGCTAAGTGCTTTTAATGTAAATCTGACCTAGGTTTTCATCCATCACAGAATCAGGATATTGTTTTCCATGTGGTTTTGTGTGTGTGTGTGGTGAGACAGGCTATTATGCAGCGACTCTATGCATCATTACTGAATTTTTTTGTTTCATTTTGTTGAATTTTTATTTAAATAATTTTCTATTATGAACAATTTAATTCTAGTTGGTTACTGGTATTTTATTAATTTAAATATGTGTTTAAATCTGATCTGCATTAAATGATCACTATTCAACTAAATTCCAAAGGCTTGTAACAAAAGTAATGTTTCAATTCCTGGTCAGTGATACTTAAGGGTTTGGGTTGTTTTCAAAGAAAAATCTCATCATCTTCTCCAGTATAGTCATATATATAACTAGTGGCACCCTATGTAGAATACCACCATTAATGCTGAAGATTCTAGTTAATCTTTCAATCAATTATTACTGAATGATCTCCAATCCAATATGTCAATTCTTAAGAACATCATTGCCTTTTTCTTTTGAGATAAATACAGTGGCCCTATTTTGTGGTTTGATTATGTTACTGTCTTTTATTACCTCTTAACAACACTCTTAGCTAGCATAACCTACTGGCACTATGCATTGTTCTAAGTACTTCATATTAATAAATACATTTAATTTTCATAACTGCACTATGGGGTTATGTATTATTATTGTTACTACTACTATTATTCTTATTTGATAAATATTATTATATATTATTATTACCACTACTATTATTTTTTACTTTTTTTATTATTACTACTATTATTCCTATTTGATAAGTAAGAAAACTGAGGATCAGAACTTGCTCACAATTATACAACTAATGATGAAAAGAAAATGAACTTGAACCCAAGCAGTCTGTCTTTAAAATCATTGCTCTTAATCCTTACACTATAATCCAGGCACATCCTCATACATTTCCTACCTGTATCCAGCTTCCTCTCTTGGCATTTGCCTCTTAACACCCTGTGTTCATACATTACGAAACTCATAGTTGTTTTGTTTTGTTTTGTTTTGAACCTTTCCAATACTTGCTTAGGGAAAATTATATGGTAGAGGGCAGAAAGGTGTTTCTGATTCACTTGCTTTGCTTCTGGGTCATGGTCTCCTTGTAGATTACGACTTGCAGGCAATAAGGATTGCTGAAGTGACTTTGTCAAATGGAAATCAGTGTTTGCAGAAATGCAACAGAATAAAAGATATCACAAATATATTTTTAAATGTTCTCTATGGAACTACTTAGATTCCATATAAAGATAATCTAGGTAAGACCTGCAATAAAGAAAAGAAAAGCTGAGATCCAGCATCATTCATACTTTTCTATGACAGAACTAAGAGCTGAGTTGATTGCAAAGCTGAGAGTAGAGGCTACCTCTCCTGACTCCCTATTTAATGCTCCTTCTTCTTGCCTGAAGAGCTAATAGTCTAATAATGGGTGCATGGAAGTGAAAAGACAGTTATACAACTGGGAATGTGGTAGAGGTGAGCATAGAATGGAAAATAAATATATAGAGACAAGAAAATATTTCCCAAAGGAGGAGATACAAACTTCAGAATTGACTAGGTAAAGGGGAAAAGCGGATGCTCCATGCAGTGAGAGCAGCATATTTTAAAATCCCAAGTCTGTGAGTGTAGAGGAACTGTTCAGAGATTACAAACAACCCAAGATGTCTGGGTAAGCTGGAAAATGGGAAAGGGGAAACTGGATATAGATAGGAGAAAAAAAAATGCCTATTATGCCATACTGAGGAATTAAAATTTTAGCCAGTCTTTTATGGATGACATTGGAGGATTTTATACAAAAAAAAGTGTCACTATTAGATTTGCGTTTTAGAAAGAATGCTCTGTAAGAGAATGTATTGGACTCTGGGATGGGAAGAGAGCTCTGTAAAGACTAAAGACAGGGTGCAAAGAGACAAGAGGAAACTGTTACAATGCAAAGGAGAGGAAAGAGCAAATCCCAGAGACAGTAAGAAAACGGTGACATTATGAAAACACATGCCTTAGGTATCTGTTGCATGACACCAAGACAAAAAAAAAAAAAAAAAAACAAGTGAAGAGCCCACTAAGAGGTTCACCACGAGGTAATTGTGAGAAATTCAAGCGGAAATATCTAATTGATATATGGTTCTGTGTATCTGGTGCTCAGAAAAAAATTCAAAGGCAAAATAGAAATGTGGTCATTATCAATCATTTGTTTGAACAACATCTAGTAAGATTTACAAAGTGCCGGTATTGTGATTGGCTCTGGGAATTCAGAGGTGAATCAAGTCAGATCCTATTCTTGTGTCTGTTTGTACCTTACAGAGGAAGCGAGGAACATATGAAGAGTTAAGGGAAGGAAAGAATTTTCGGTTTGACCACACGTCGTGTCCAGAGCACAGTGCTATAGCCAGTTGTCTCTGGGAAAGGTAATTCTATGCAGTGCTCTGCAGTTATAGTCTCAGTGCCTTTGAAAAAATAATTTGCATAAATAATGAATTGCTGTCTCACAATTCAATTAAGTTTCCTTTGGCATTTGACCCTGATGAACAACACATTCATTGGCAAGTTTATCAAAACTGTTGTCTCAGAAATAATAATAGTAGCTGACATTTACTGACTACACTTGCTACATTTATTGACTACCTTGTCTACTACCTGTAAGATACTTTTCTCAGTATTCCAAGTGTATTTTCTCATTGACTCCTCCCAACAACCCCATAAGGTTGGTACTATTATAATCTCTATTTTATATATAAGAGAATTCAAGCACAGAAAGAATAGGTGACTTGCCCAAGGGCACTAGTTAGAAAATGAACGACCTAAAATTCAGGCCTGCAGATTCACTCCAGGTCCCGTGTCTCCTTAGAGAAAAAACAAGAGTAAGTGGCGATAGGAAAGATAATAAAATGCTACTTTTTCATCATCAGTTGTGCATTAATGTTAAATTGTCTTATTTTGCTCTGCTATGAAACTCATATGAAGTTAATTTTTTCAGAAAAACCTTTAATTTGGAATTATTTAATGGATTGAGAATCATTGGTATTTTTTGTGCCAGGGAGTAAAATATCTTCTTGATTTCCTTGATTGTGTTTGCTTTTCTTCATTCTCAGCCTACCAAAATATTTAATGACCACCCTCAGTGTTACCATGTAAACAGGCTTAGTCAAACTGAGAACTCTTCTTCCGGCTCCTTTATCTTTTATCTAAAAAAAAAAAAAAATCAAACTAGTCTCATTTCCTTTTAGTATCTTTTTTTTCTCTTATCTCTTTAATTCTTCCATCAATTACAGCTTTTATTCCAGAGGAAAAAATATAGACGAAACTCTGGGTGTCCACACTGTTGGTGATAAAAGTGATACAACCTTGCGTTTCCTGGTTGGGCTGCTCAGAGAAAAAGTATGTAACAACGTGGAAAAAGGTCCAGGATTGTCATGTTGAATCTGCATGTACTTACCTAACTATAATGCTGTGAAGACACATAGCTGTACATTTGTCCTAGTCTCCTGACTTTTTCTATTTTTGTTTTTAGACAAAGTCCGTCTCTGTCGCCCAGGCTGGAGTGCAGTGGTACCATCATAGTTCATTGTAACTCATCTCCCGGGCTCAAGCAGTCTCCCAAGCACTGGGATTACTGGTGTGAGCCACCGCACACAACCGCTCCTGATTTTTATCTCCTCAAAAGAAATAAATAGAAATCATAAATTGTGTGAATGAATATGAACCATCTCACAGAGAAACAAGCTCCAAAATTGGTAAATTTTCTTCTGCAAGTTTCACTCTCTTAGTCTGGACCACAACACACTGGCTGTAGCAATTATACTCTCCAAACAAAATTAAATTCAATTAATTATTACGTACCATGTTCCATGTCTGCTGGTAAACATTCTTTTAAAGTTATGTTTGAACACTAGTTTGACTTTTTTGGGTCATGATTATGAAACAGTTTTTTTAAAAATATAAATTGTTTTGGATAATGATTTTTAAAGCAAGGTTAAGAAAGCCAATTCACTGGCATGCCATAACTAATGGTAATTTTAATTGAACTGACAATCAGACTTCAGGTTTGATGAAAATTGCCATCAAACTGTATTTGAGGACACACAAAAGGAACCTGTCCTGAACATTAAGTCAGATTATTAGAGACTGGTCTTCTTCACCCCACTCGTGCTCTTTCTTATTCATCTTGATTTTTACAATTAAATTAATCTTTCCAAATAGCGAAATAATTATGTTATTCTTTGGCTCAAAACCTTTCGTAGCTCTTTATTGCATACAGAAAAGGAATCCAGTTGATTACAGCAGTGGTCTCCAAACTTGTTAAAAAATCAGCCATGACTAAACAAAGTAAGGAAAAAGAAAGCATGCAAATATGTATTGCCTCTCTGTAAAATCATATATTATCTAATATCTAGTATGATATCTAGTATAATTATTGCTTAGCACAGACCTTATTGCTAACGATAGTAGATTAAATTCATCTCTCAAATGGCCTTCTTGATTGTTTGACTAATATTATTAGACTACTTCCTCTCATATTCAATTAGATTATCATTTGCTTTTTATCTCTTAACATAGCTGGTCGAAGATGGGCAGGAAGAAAGTCAGCTTCGTAATTTCCTTGTTGTCTGTCTGTGCTTGCATTTTTAATATTTTCCATTTATGGCTCCTTTGCAGAGATCTTTTCATGTGTTGTCCATTTATGATTGTTTAAAACATATTGTATAATCCATTAGTTCACATAAGCAGGTGTACAGTATGCAGCAGGTGAAGACTTCAAGGTCTGATAAGATATCCAGTCCTAACCTCTGTTTCCAGAAATATGGCAGTCTGATGTTCAGAAAAATTATTCCTAGTAGGAAGCACTGAACAATATTGTATAAAATACTTTTCAAAAAGAATTATTGATTAATAGTGGCAGAGGAATTAAAGAACCCTTCAGAGATTAGAAATGATAAGAACATGGAAAGTGAGCCATGTTTTTTAAATTTTTGTGAATACAATAGTAGGTGTATATATTTATGGGGTACCTGAGATATTTTGATACAGGTATACAATGCATAATAATTACATCAGGGGAAATGGGGTATCCATCACCTCAGGCATTTATCCCTTTTTCTTTTGGATTACTTTGTTTTGGTGTTAAGATTCAAAAACTCCTTTAAAATAAGCTTTCCAACACTATAATTTGTGAGAATGAGCCTTACATTCTTGTCTTTAGTATCACTTCCTTCATGATTTTGCATTTTATATGTTATATTTATATTGGATCTTTTCCTCAAAATTATTTTATGATGAGAAGACTTCTATTTTCCTTGTACAATGGCTGTTGGCAGGATTGAGTTCCCCTTGAGCTGTTGGACTGAGGGCATCAGGTACTTGTTGGCTGCCCTCAGTTTCTTGTAATATGGGTCCTTCCACAGGGTAACAGGGTAGCTCACATAGCTGGTTCACAGGACTGATTTTTGGTACTTATGAAGGTGTTTTTTGGTTGGATAGTTTTCCAGTTTGGTGTTCCTGTAGGGGGAACGATTGCTGGAGGCTTCTATTTGGCCATGATTCTGTGCCTCCTCATTCATCCCTTCTTTGAGGTTACAAACAGCCAATAATACACATAACTAAAAGTTTAGTTAAAATAACTGAATTTTGAAATGTACTATAAATTATTGTTGACTTTCATTACCTTGTTGTGCTATTAATACTAGATCTTTTTTATTCTAACTATATTTTTGTACCCGCTAACTATCTCCCCTTCCTCCTCCACCTCCATTACCCTTCCCAGCTGCTGGTAACCGTCATTATACTTTCTATCTCCATGAATTCAATTGTTTTACTTTTTTTTTTTAAAGCTCCCACAAATAAGTGAGAATATACAGAATGTGTTTTTCTGTGACTGGCTTATTTCACTTAACATAATGACTTCCAGTTCCATCCATGTTTTTACAAATAACAGGATATAATTCTTTTTTATAACTGAATAGTGTTCTGTTATGTACAAAAGTGCCACATTTTCTTTATCCATTCATTTGTTGATAGACACTAAGGCTGCTTTCAAATCTTGGCAATTATGAATAGTGCTGCAATAAACATGGGAGTGAAGATATCTCTTCAATACACTGGTTTCCTTTCTTTTAGGCATATACTTAGCAGTGGGTTGTTGGTTCAAATAGTAGTTGCATTTTTAGTTTTTTGAGGGAACCTCCAAACTGTTCTCCAAGTGGTTGTACAAATTTACATTGTTGCCAGCAGTATACAAGTAATTCCTTTTCTCCACATCCTTGCCAGCATTTGTCATTTTCTGTCTTTTGGATAAAAGCCATTTTAACTAGGGTAAGATGATATCTCATTGTAGTTTTAACTTGCATTTCTCTAATGATCAGTGATTTGAGCACCTTTTCATATACTTTTTGCCATTTGTATGTTTTCTTTTGAGAAATGTCTGTTCAAGTCTTTTGCCCATTTTAAATCAGATTATTATCTTTTTTCCTATAGAGTTATTTGAGTTCCTCAGGTACTCTGGTTATTAATCCTTTGTCAGATGGATAGTTTGCAAATGCTTTCTCCCAATTTGTGGGTTGTCTCCTTGTTGATTGTTTCCTTTGCTGTGCAGAAGCTTTTTAACTTGATGTGATCCCATTTGTCCATTTTTGCTTTGTTGCCTGTGCTGTCTTGGTATTCCTCAATAAAATTTTGCCCAGTCCAATGTTTTAGAGAATTTCACCCAATGCTTTCTTTTAGTAATTTCACTGTGCAAGATCTTTAATCCATTTTGATTTGATTTTTGTATATGGCGAGAGATAGAGGTCTAGTTTCATTCTTATGCATATGGGTATCCAGTTTTCCCAGAACCACATATTGAAGAGATTGTCATTTCCCCAATGTACATTCTTGACATCTTTGTTGAAAATGAGTTCTCTGTAGATGTATGAATTTATTTCTGGGTTCTCTCTTCTGTTCCATTGGTTTATGTGTGTGTGTGTGTTTATGCCACTACAATCCTGTTTTGGTTACTGTAACTCTGTAGTATAATTTGAAGTCAGGTAATGTGATTCCTCTGGTTTTGTTATTTTTGGTATATTAACATCAGGCACTGTGATCACTCACCTGATTTTTGGTTCTGAAGAAGGTGCTCTTTTGTGTTAATAGTTGCTCAATTTGGTGTTCCTGCAGGGGGCAGGGTATGATCGCTGGAGGCTTCTATTCAGCTGTCTTGCTCTACTGGGCTTTAATGGACCACTAATAAGACCGAGAGACAAAACTGGGGTCCTGACCAGAATACAAGTTTGGGACAGAGATCTTGCCATAAAGTCTGTACACTTAAAGGGCAGTATCTATATTAGGTGAAATAAGAAAAAATAATGGTCCTCACAGACAAAGATAGTTGCCACATTCTGGGAAGATTTAAAAAAAAGAAAATTTATCCTAATAATTTGTAATCACAAGTCTGCCCTCATATGGGTTTCTTGCCTACATTCATAATATTTTTGCCCCTCCCCAAAAAAACACAATAAAAAATTTAAAGTAATTCCAGATTGTGGTGTTCTCTGAAAAAAGTTACATTAAACTTAAATAACAAATAATTCTCCCAAAGTTCCAAGGAAAATCAACTCATAAGAAAAAATTACTAAATAAAAATTAAAGTAAGACACCATGAGTGAAACTCAACTGAAACAACAGGCTACTATATTAAAATCTTTAAAATTATAAATGTTAGAATTGTTAACAAAGGAAAATATGAAATAAGTGTTAGTATATTTAAAGATATAAAATAATCCATTGAAAGTATGATGAAAGAGCAAACTATTAAAAAATTTATTAAATAAATTTGTAAAAATTATCAAAAGAAGTGTCAAAAATGAAAAATATAATAATTGACATTAGCAAATCAACGTTTTCGTTAAATTGCAGATTGGAAATGACTGAAAGAGAATTAGTAAATTGGAAGTAAGTAGAACTAAAGAAATTATAACAAATGTAAGCTAGAGACTCAAGGATCTAGGTGATATGAAAGAACAAGATCAGAAACATATGGAATAGATAGAGAAAATCATACCTGCATCTAATTGAAGTTCAACAAAGAGAAAGAGACTGGGAGAGAAAATTTAAAGAGATAATGGCTGAAAACTTTCCAGAAATGATGACAGAAATCAATCCTCAGATTCAGAAGGCTAACTAATCTAACAAAGAATAAATGAAAAGAAATATACATGTTATACTATAGAGAAATTTCAAAGTATCAAAAGGAAGATCTTAAGAGTTGCCAGAGAAAAGATACAGATCATCTTAAAATACAGATCAACCGAGTTTTCAACTGCGATAATAGAAATCCAATAACAGTGAAATAACATCTAGATGTTGTCAACCAGGTTGACAAGTACTCTATCCTTAAGCAGCACTTGGAAATTTGGAGTGTCTTCCTTGTCACAATGACTGGAGTGTGACTGGAAAGTTACATTTCTTTGTGCCTCGATTTTCTTATCATTATGAGAGTAATAGTATTTATCTCATAAGATTGTTGTGAAGATTACATGAGTTAAATATATAGAAAGCATTCATAACAGCGCTTGACACATTGAAAG